AATGTTTTTTACACTCGTTGAACGTAATTAAAATTTTCAAGTATTATGTTAACAAAAAATTTAATGAGTTTTCTTATAAAACTGCAACAAACTGTGTTACGCTTTACGCAACGTTAGCCTTAAAATATTTTAATCATATTTACTTTCTTATTCTTTAGCTTTGCAATAATTTACGGGTAAAAAATATATTGTAAGAAGTGTAATAATAATGTTAAAGATGGTGTAACTCGTCCAGCCTATCACAGAACACTTTATCATAATCCACTGTTATTGTGCCGTATAGTGAGGGCCTCCACTATCCTACATCCTCCCGTGGGTGTCGTAAAGGCGATAGAGGTAAACTGGATAAGGACATGGACTAAATACAAGCTCAAAATAAAAAGAGTTTGCGGTTGCCAACTGCGCTGCCAGAAGTGGCAACTATAGCATTCCACATATTAGGCAATTTATGACCTGTGTTCAGCAATTAGACAATAATTAATTAAATGTATATAATTCAGATTTCTTTGTTTGAAAATCGGCTAAAAGGACATTTTCATCAATAGTTCAAGTCTGTCACTGAATGTCTTCCAAGATATTTAGTGATAAATTTTAAAATCATCATAGACCCTAAGTACTGCCATAGAAAATAAGCCTGGGGCAACTACCTGCAATTTCCTTCGTATTTTATGAGGCTGCTACACGAGAACATATTTACCACATCAATCTGTTAATTTCCTGTTATTTCAATTTAAATGGCCGGCCTTTGCCGAAAATGTTAATCAGTTTCGATTACTCATTTTTGTATAATTATATATATATAGTTACTTGAGTAATTAATTGTAGTTAACTAACTTCAAAACTACATGATTTCAGTTCCAGTGAATTATGTTCTTTAATTATATGTTATCTTAATTTGTTTAATTTTTAATAAAATAAGCGTGACAAACGAGTATACAGTCCATCTAATGGTAAGTGGATGCTGTGGCACATAGACATCATTTATTCTCCATTAAGAATCAAAACGCAGATGCGTAGTCATCCCCGAAGACTAAGATGGAATGCAACGCTCACCGTACGAAACTCAGCAGAATTAAGCTGCTATTTATATGCTCCTACAAAACTTTCATTCTAGCAGTGTAGTGGCAGCGTAATATAATCCACTACCTACTTACGTAGTAGCCACGCTGCAGCTATATTAAAGTTGCAGCACGAAAGGGTCGGCTCGAACGGGGAGGACCACACTCACAGAATACCAGCATAAAATGGCAGCCTAATGCTGCTAAGCTTCGTACGGTTGGTGTAGAGGACACTTTTAACTGGAAACGAGGCATTCCAGCTTAGTCCTTAGGGATGTCAACGCATCTGCATTTTGATTCTTAATCGAAGATAGATGTAGATTTCTATGGGACATAGCATTCACTTACCGCCAGCTCGTTTGCTCGCCTTCATTCTATAAAACAATATAAAATCACTTTATCATATTCTACGTCTTATAGTTTGGTAACTTATTACAAAACATTTAATAAATTATAAGATACACTAAAGAAATCAAATCTGCTTGCTGATATTATAATAAAGCTCCTTTTTAACGGAGATCAGAAAACGGGAGGGATTTTAATTATTCTTCTTTTCTTAAATAGTTTGGCATATCCACAGCATCCAATTATCATGAGGAGGACTGTATGCTCGTTTGTGATCCTCATCCCATTAAAACATCCACTAATCAGGATCTTCACGTGGGTGTGATAACAGGTGTCAGAGATAAACTGGAACAGAATAAAACTGCGTCTCACAACACGCCCGTCAAGTGTTTTAAATGTTGGGGATATTTCTTAGTCAATTTAAGGGGTAGACCTATGATCAGTATAGCACATTTGATGGGCTGCAATGAATGGATGAAAACATAACATTGACTCTTACTTTAGCAAAAATATCTCTTGGAATCATTATTATGCGTCTGAATAAAAAAAAGTTTTAGCTACTAAAGCTTAAACTAATCAAATATTAAAATCATATGACTTACGTCATACTTTCATAACTGTTGAATAAAATGCAAATTAAAAGACTATTATTGCTAATCACTAGCGCCATATAGATTAATACAGTATAAAATATCTTTATTTCAGTTATCAAAGACTTAAAAATTGAGAATATTGACCCAAAGCAATATATAACCGTAAACAAAAATATATTTAAAAAAACAATACATAACATAACTTAACACTATTTAGGGAATTTCCTTCTTACACGCGATCGATTTCTGTATCTGCGGTACACTACACCACAGGGCCAGAAATCCGTAGCGAGGAATGTCTCTACATTTTGCTGAACTCTTGAATACATAGGATTTGAAGTTCGTTGACCACGCAAAGTACTTGCGATTATTTTGTCAGCCTCAAGCTGGTTACAGACGGGTTTTGACCGACGTCTCCTCTCCTTTATGAGTTTGAGCTTAATGATTTTGCCACAGTGTTAGTGTTGTTTGATTTCATACTACTCTTTTTTACATTTTTTAAATTAAAACATACTTTAAAGAAACATAGAGCAATATCATATATGTTTGCTATCTTCCTCAACAACAACAGAAGAGCTATATTATTATCAATTATTACGTCTTATGTGTGGTCTGAATTATATTTCTTTTTCGCAATCACTCTTATGCATTCACTGTTCGTAGTCGGTTCCGCTTCACACATTACGTTTACTCATAACGACTCTAATTTCATAATATTTAATTCAGTGTGATGGTACCTACTTTGCAGAAAAAATTAGTAATAAGCTGCAACTATTTCTTAAACAAATAATTGTCATGTAATAGCGATATAAGAGAATACACTACCATATATCATCTCATGCATTCCTTAGAGACGATAAAAGGTAACTTGGAACAGTAAATGGGCAGCAGCGTCATTCTGATAATAATTCGATAATTATTAGTTAATAATTCGCTTGTCAAGCGTGGCAACTATGGCAAATATCCTCCCTATGAGAAAATCTGTGATGAAGGCACATGTACAGCAGTGCGTGTGGTATTACACGCACTACTCGCACTGCTGCTTAACTGCACTACACTAAACTGCGTTAACAATCTTGTGTATTAAGTATATAAGATTTATAAATAAGCACAGTTTATTACAGTCCTGAAGATTTGGAATCGAATATATGTAAAATTAAAAGTGAAAAAACCCATAAAAGTATAGTTAATCATTGTGTAGTGTTAAGCACAATACATCAGACAAAGTTTATAGTGCGTCTGACAATAAAGTTCAGTGTGCTACAAATTATAAATTAAATACAAAAACCATCGAATTAGGAAATATTTTGTTTACATCACAGTGGTCCATAATAAAAATGATTCTTCATTTATATGAATACCGATACCACGTTTATTTTAGTATTTAAGCATCAGTACTTCGATGCCAAATTATTTTTGTACACGCTGTAGAGGCACGCTGTAGCTATAATTACGGTTGTAGCACGAATTGGTCAGCTCGACAACGCTCTCACAAAATATCAGCGTAAAATAGCATGCTGCTGTGTTTCGTATGCTAAGTGTTTTACAGGTAACGAGGAATTCCATCTTAGTCCTCAGTCATGACAACGTCTATAAAATATCCCAGAGGGTGTAACGTATTCTCATTTGTAACTCTTATTCTGTAAAAAAGAAGCAATTTTTCTTTAAATTTCGTCGAAATTTGGGCAGTCAAAATGAATATTATTTATATTTAAGAGTAAATTTAATCTCTTTTTTAAAAGATAATAATCAGTTTGTTATATAATAACAATTACATAATGCAATAAAACATGACGCAGAATTCATAAACAATCTCTTTCAATGTTAAATTTAGTAATGGGGTAAATATAATAATTTAAAAATTAAAACTACAATAGACAACATGCAAGCCCCATATCATTGACCCAAATTTTAAAATTGTATTATTATATCAAAAATCAAAAATGAAACGTTGACTAAACGACTAAATAAAAACTATTTCCCACCGATAGACATAATGAGCTATTGTCCCCACTTCAAACACATGTAAAAACATCGAAGTACTACTAATACATTACCAACCTTCATGACTAGAATAATGTTTTTATATCAACTTCACTTTGGCAATACCTAAGTGGTCATAGAAAATTATGGTTTACGAAGTAGGATGACTGCGAAATCTCCGGTCGATTAACAGGCTTCCAGTTATTAAACTTACTTTGTTTACTGACTTTATACTTCTCTAGTTTAAGTAACTACAGATAAAGAACTAGGTAATAACATTCAGACTCTATGCTTTATAACTGTTGACTCCATCTATTTCTAATAGGAAACATCAAGCTATTGATTTTATTGCTGTTATAAATGACTCTTAAATATTGTTTTGTATGAGGTAGCAATTACGAAGAAAAGGTGTGCGATGTATCATTTTATTTTGTACTTGTGAATGATTGCGGATGGTAAAATTAATCAATATCAAAAGATAGAATTAAAGCTGCTAAAGGTATAATTCAAGAAAGTTACGTAAAAGAGGCAAACATACAAAGTTTCAACACAATTTAGTAAGTAGGCCATATTATTATAGATTTCGTAATCACTCATGCTCCACAAACAACATTATGCCTCTAATTACGTTGAACAATGGGCCAGAAAATAATAGACGAGTGTAGACTTTTGGCAGCGCCATATTTAATTTTTTTTTATATACAAAATTTGCCAGTTTTCATTTTATAAAACAAAAATATCTTTACAAGAAACCATTTTATTTCTAAAGTAACAGGTACGTCAACTCAAAGTTCTAACAACACCGATCAGCTTTCGCCAAAACAAAACAAAATAAAAGAAAAAAACCTATACAAGAGTAATGCATCAGTGCGAGTCGATCAAGAGTCGTGGGACTGGTCATCCAGAGATCTGGTGTTAACCACTATCCACTTTGATGGTGATTCCCACGGCTCTCGTTCGGGAGTTATAGTGCTAATCTTATAGTTAGATATCACAATCAGACGTCTGCTTCCTGCAGCCATTAGTAGCCTCCATGATGACCATACTCGTGACCGTGACCGACGACAACCGGAACGGGCACCTTGACTGGGTAAGGCACGGGTTTCTCGATGTGAACAGGTACGTGTTTCTCGATGTGGACCGGGTAAGGCCTGTCTACGGGGACCTTCACTGGATATGGCACATGCTTCTCAACTGGGTAGGGAATGTGTTTTTCGACGGGGTATGGCGCTGGGACGGGAACTTTTACGGGGTAAGGTACTGGCTTCTCAACGTGCACAGGCACGGGGCGGTCGACGGGCACCTTAACGGGGTAGGGCACTTGTTTCTCTACTGGGTAAGGCACGGGTCTCTCTACTGGGTAAGGTACTGGTTTAGGGATGTGTACAGGGTAAGGCCTGTCTACGGGAACCTTGACGGGAACACCCACCTCTTTAATGACTGGGTAAGGTGCTGGTACGTGAACTGGGACCTTCACTGGGTAAGGAACCTTCTTTTCAACGGGGTAGGGTGCTGGCACTGGGACCTTGACTGGGTAAGGAATGTGCTTCTCTACGGGGTAAGGTTGGGGTACGAATACTTTAACGGGCACGGGCCTGTCTACTGGCACGTGTACGGGATAAGGCACCTTTTTCTCGACGGGGTAGGGTTGAGGTATGTGAACTGGTACTTTCACGGTTTCCTTGACTGGGTAAGGAACGTGCTTGACAACGGGGTAAGGTTGGGGTACTGGGACCTTGACAGGTACATGAACACGCTTCTCAACGGGGACTGGGATATGTTTCTCTACTGGGTAGGGAATTGGTACATTTTTGACCACAGTGATAGTCTTGTGCACCTCTTCGTGCCCACCGTAACCACCTAGACCGCCACCGAAGTCACCGCCGAAGCCGCTACCATAGCCGCCGCCGTAGCTACCGCCATAGCCGCCTCCATATCCGCTGCTGAAGCCACTGTCGAATCCTCCATGTCCGTATCCGAGGTTCAAGAGCCCGCGCTTCTCATGTTTCTTGTCGTCGGAGGCCGCCTCCTTGTTGTCAGTCACTGCCACTTCCGTTTCTGCTTTCTTGGCTTCTTCAGCATTTGTGAAGGCCAGAAGAGCCACCAGACTGGCGGCCACGAGCTGCAACAAAAAAAATCGTTAAAATTAACATTCAAGAAGACTGAGCTTAATTAGACAATAAATGATTAGAACTGCTTATGGAACAGCTATGGAAATTTTAAGAACTTTTAAGTTCGTGAAACATGTCGTAAAAGGCTTTAGGGCTTGTTCATATTGAGTCGCGTTAGTATCGTCACAGACAGAAAACAGCATGTTTAAGCTTGGTAATAAAATTAAAGAGATCATAGACCGCGAATCAGAGAGCTATAGACGCACTGTCACAGGTCGCACTACACAAAAATCACTTAAAAACGCACCATGAACTTCATGATGCTGTACTTGTTGGTTGCACTGAAGCCAGTGGAGTCCTGAATGCGAATGATGCACGTTCTTCGCAACTTCGTTATATATACGCTGCATGAGCGGCCGAGCGATGAAAAAAATGGCGCCGCTCCGTAGGACTACGTTACACTTTCGCTTTCGAGGGGTATCGTTTCGAACGGAGCCGAAATGCTCCATATCGTCGTCGCTGAGATGCGGACCGGTTTCGGCGAGCGACGGATTGTTTGCATAGTTCCTGAAATGCTGTTAGCCTGATTGTTAACCAGAACTGCAACACATTCAGCTTTCCTTATTACGTACGCTGACACAACACTAAAAGTCAGATCAGTGGCGAATGACCTACGATAATTAATATGCCACCGCAATGACAAATACTGAGATAAAGCTGCGTCTACAAAAGCTGTGTATCAGTAAGTGATTTATTAATAAGGTGAAGTCAATATTATTACGTTTTTAAAAATATTGTGAGTCATAATCTTTAAATTTATTTAAATCTTTTGTCAGTAATTGTGTGAGAGTTTTAAAAAAGTATTTTTTAGTAAATACTATAAGAAGATATTATATTATGTAGTGAAAATTATAAATAATCGAATTGAGAGTGAGTATTTAAAACTGTGTAAATACAAAGTCACCAACAGCGAGTTATCAGTTATCTATAGTCAATCTGATTACCAAGAGTGGTAATTTCGGCAAATCATCCCTTATTATGTTCTCTAATACCCTAATATCATGCTCTTGACGGTTCTGCGTCAGCAGTGGCTTAGTATTGAATTTCGTTGAGGGCCACGAGTTCGAATCCCGCACGGAACAAGTATTTGTATGGCCTACAAATAATTTAACCGAGTCTGAATGTTACAGGATGATACAGGAGAAAATCCGAGTATAGCAATAATTTAAAATGTTATTATAAACTCATGGCTCGCTATTGCCTATTACGACGTATATAAGAAGAAAATACAACATAATATAACGAAGTTTTTATATACTTTTTTATGTGGTCGTTTGTCAAATACATGTAAAGTTGAGAAACGAGCACACATTCCAATTGATGCGTGAGATTATAGTAATAATATTCGGACAACAGAAATCTATTGTGTTGACATATGGAATAAATTATGTATATATTATAATCGACAAACAGTATTCTATTTCGTTTAATTATATAATGGCTAAACTAGTAATATATTTAATTCTCGAATTGAATTGAACTAGTTGATCATTCCTCAAACAAAATGCCTCGTAACAGAAGAGCTAGTCGTCAATATTTTCAGCATGCTGTTTCGATTTGGTCCTAATCACTGAAGATGCGGTTTTTGAACCGAGCTCCAAAACTGAAATGGTTCTGTATTCCACGCGTATTTTGATACTTGTTTACCGATTTCACGGTAAGGGTTGAACCGATTCTAATGATTTGGGGGGCTGTGACAAGAGTTGCTCCATATAAATTTATAGAAAAATTCCAACCCTAAGGGTGGAAAATAGGGGATGAAGTTTTTAATGTATTTAAGCGACATTCTAGTTATATTGTCAATCTTGTTCTGTTATCTTGAAATTGTCATATTATTTAGACATGTCGAAAAGTTAAAAGAATAAAACTAAGTATTACGGATTTCATACGGTAATTTTGACGCCATAAAATCCTTTAAAATTAGTTCAGTAGTCATTTGATGTGTTTTGTTCACGTAAACATAAGAAATAAAAAGTAAAACCAACTTTAAAAACCAAACAATAAATAATTTTAATTAAATAACTTATATAATCGGGAGTAATCGTAATTCTTCGATACACTATGTCTAAGCACCGACTACAGAAGAGTGTTGTATAATATGTTGTGGAAATTATTTCTTTTAGTTGGCTATACTTCTTAGTAAATGGTTAAATATTTACCATCCGTTAGACACCTTGCAATCCCAAAAAATACATTCAAAAGGTATTATTGTATTTAGACTAGCTATTGCAGTTTTTGAAAATACGAGTACCTAAATCAATAAGGCTTCTATATTTATTTGAAATATTCCCAAATCGAATGTGATTTATGAGCAACAACATTTTTACCTACTGATCAACCCTTATAAATCTGAGCGTGCGCAGTAAATTCAGTTTGAATAATGCATTACCACGCATTTTGTATTTAAAATATAAAAAGGACGGAATGTTCGAGATTTTTTTAATTAATTTTTCTTAACTATTTGCCTGTATTACCTATTCTGAACCTTCACTACAAATTTGACCGGTTATTTCAAAATAACCCTGTATAAAATACATACAAATACTCGAAATATTTTCTGATTAGGGTTAGTAATGAAAGTGACAGTAATATCCGGCTACAAACTGAAATGACTGATACCATGTTGCTTATATTATATTACATAACTTACTTAACTGACTTATAAGAATCGCCTCACAAATAATTCAAAGACAACTATTTAATTTGTGAACGTATTTCGTATTTCGTACACGGTTTTCATTGTGATTACGTCCGACGTAATTTACTTAAGAAATTCGAGAATTTCTTCTATGATTTTGAACTAATAGAGAAAGAGAATCAAAATTTTAACCTCATGTCTGTACTAGTAAAGATATAGGGCTTAAAAATTTCTCTGAAATAGAAATTCAAGTGATGCAATAAGTGTTGTGTTTTTGTGAATTAGGCGAAGAATTCTAAACATTTATAATGCATGTTCTGTAATAAAATTACACATACGGACACATAGTCCATAGACCGCGAATAGATATCTACATTTATTGTCACTTAAGAATCAATCAATCAAAATACATATAATGTCACCCAGTTGACTAAGATGAAATATTTCGTTTCTAGTAAAAAGAGTTTCCAGTTCCTCTACACTCATCATACGAAACACTGTACAATTAAGCTGCTACTTTACACTGGTAATAAGTAAGCACGTGGTTCTACCGAGCCGACTTATTCGTGTTACAACTATAATATACTCGTAGTTGTAGCGTGGCTCTGCCACGTTTAAATTAAATTTTATCTTTTTAAGCAAAAAGTTACTTGGATTTTAAATCCCTATTTTGATATTTAATTATATTGTGTATTGATAACAATCTAAAAATAATAAAAAATACACAATATATTATTTAAAAACGTATGTCAAGTAAATTGCATATATTCATATTTTCAGTCACAATAGTGAGACACTATCTGCAAGCCCGTTGTTCTTCATAGCTCAGGGCATGAATAAAGTGAACGACGTGAGAAAACAGTTTTTGAGAGCTAAGATATCTGTGAGCTTCTTATATATTTCATAAGACAAAAGCTTTAAAAAAGAATAAAAAAGCTATGATATCCCCGAATTACTGCTTACTGGACTGTTTCTGTAAAGCATAACTAACGGCAGATTTTTCTATTGTCATTTATTTCATATAATAAAATACAACACAAATAAATTAAAAACTATACTTGTGCGTAGTATTTATAAAATAGTTCAATTGATTGACTTTTATATTCAGTTATATATAATTTATTAGATAGATTACTTTGAAGTGACGATTGATTAATCGGCCCTTAATAAGCAAGTCACATCACATTTACTTTTTTAAAACGATTTCTTATATCACTAAACTATTTTTAGAGATTTCTTTGCTTTTTTAGTTACAACAACACATTCATTGCATCACAAATCTCAAAGTGTAGACAAGAGATGGAAATGAATAATTAATAATGGACAACAGTGACAAATCATTAACGTTATACTTACGAAATAGCAGCGTAATGGCTTTTACTGGTAAGTAAGCTGTATTCGACCTTAGTCCTAAGGGGTGATAACGCATTGGCATTTTGATTCTTTACCTAGATAGAAGTTAGTGTTAGTTTATTATAGACAATAAAGATGGTTAGGTAATTAAAAGTATATAAGTGTTTTGTATTTCTGTTAACAAGTGCTTCGGGGCCAAATCGTCCACTTGCTATCAGGTGAATAGTTTATCACTAATAAAATAATATACACGATCTTTTGCCGGGCACAAGCCTTCCCATCATTTCTAATATAGTTATGTCACCTCTTTTATAAAAAAATGTTCATAATCCACTAACCTGGTAATGTAAACAGGTGCCTTTTGCTTCAGCTTTCATGTGACTAAATTTAATTACGCCTTATTTTTCGACATAAGACTATAAAGTCTTCATAAAATTCAGTTTTTCTGTTAAGCTTAGATCATCACCTCACCGTTACCACTTCGATTGTTGCAATTCAATGATAATTTACTGTCATCATCAATCCATTTTAGCAGAGACCTGTGTTCCATCAGTAGGCTTTTTACGTTTTCGTTGTCCGACGATGATTTTATCATTTCGTAACGGTGAGATAAAGACGCTCAGTTCATAAATTAATACATAGGCTGATATTTGTATGGCATCCGCCTCCTATGTATTTATATGTACGAGTATGTAGATTACATAAATATGTGGGAGAAGGGGTTATGTTCGGGATTATGTACCTAAAAATATTCGTTAGTAATTAATAAAAGTAGTTAATAAATTATACAATGAAGTATTTGAAGAAATTAATAAAGAATTACTTTATTTCATTATATTCAATTTTATTACGGATACAATAATACCCTAAAAAAGAAGCTAGATTACTATATTTTAACATTTAAGCAATTCAATTTTGAAGACATCCGGAATACGCTTAGCAAATTATTTACTTTCCCACAACACGTTAAGATGAGAGGATGTTCGATTTTAGATTACAGAAACTAAAAATTTTAGTTAAGGTTGAGTGAACGCAAGTTCGAACCTCGCCGGAACCAATGAAACTGTTAATTACAATTATATGTGTTTATTTACCACATGATCCGTAGTCAACTAAAATATTAATTATAAAAAAATATTTCTAAAACATGTGAAGTACGCTAAAACGCATAGGGGTGACGTGGAGGATATTTTACGTGACATAAAATCCTCTCAGGAGTGAGAGAAGGCTTGTGCCCAGCAGTGGGACATAATATTTCTTCACTTTTAAGTATGAGTTAAAATTTAGTTTTCTAATTTTTAAGAACACAGTTAAATTTCTCTGGTTTGTTAGATAAACGTTTATATATAAAGTCTCAAAGCAATAAAGATAAATACATATTAATTTATTTAAAAAAAAGTTGAAATATAAAACCTCTGTATTTATTTTGGTTTTATTTCAATCTGCTACATATATTTCTAGAATTAATACAAATAATCTGGATTTCTGAATTAGGACTCAGACATTTATTCATAGATAATCATTTGTTTTTTGAGGATTGTCTGCTTGTTTGCATCTGATTCGTTGGCTTGGTGGTCGTTAGCATTACTGCTGATCATGAGATCTCGAGTTTAAATCCCGGATCGGGTCAAAGTCATTTATTAGACTTTTCTGTCATGGAATTCTCAATAGTCAGTAAGTTGGCGGTGTTTCACCCTCGTGACTCTAAAAGCACCTAAAATTGGTCCTGCACCTATTCTCGTCCCAGTCGTATCGGATTAGGATCGTAACGAACTATGATAGCGAGATAATACAGAGTGCACCTATGCTTGTGAACACAAGTGATCTATAATCCTGTCCTACGCAGGTCACTAGCCTGGAGGACGTTATTATTTTGAGAGTAAAAAAAAACAACGCATAGATGCATTGATGCGTGAAAATAGAACGACAAAAATAAGAATTTTTGGTTAAATATTTTAGCGAATTTGTTTATTTGCGCATTTATACTACCATCATTGTTTGTAAAAACTTTGATTTGTGAGTTTTTATACAAACCCCTACTAACTCATAGGCAGAAAATAAATACTACCTCCTAATATGAGTGACCGCCATTGAGAGACGATCTAATATGTTATGGGGAACGTCAATGTATGTAGAAGGTATCCAAGGGAAGTTTATGGTTAGCTGTGGACTCATTTTTGGCTCATGATAGCTATCATCATACTTATAACAAACAATGAAAAATAAACATGAGTATAGACAGTCCATTATCTCCATTAACCTTGTGCTGTAATACATTTATAATTATTATAGAATTAGGTAACTTTAATATCGAGTTAATATCCGTACATTGCGTTACATTTCTCCTTGTAACATATACGGGTAATGAACGTTGCTCGGTGGCGAATTTGTTAATTCTTTATTGTGTTGCAATAAGGTTCAAATTAATACTATTCTTATGAGCTTCATTTGTCGCCCACCGTACGGACTATCGATTATTTCAGATCATTTCCCTAGATAAATGGACGCAGTTTTCGTAATGCTCGTACTGGTGGTTGCGTTTGTAAAACGCCGGTAATTAAAAACATAAATGACTTAATGCATTGTGAATTATAGCCATATTCAAGGACTTCAAAGCATTTTAGTCTTATTAAAAGTACTTAAGTTTTAACCCCATTTTTACTCATTTTTTACTTTTATAATTGGTTCGGAAAAAACCTCTGTCTTAGGAATAACCAACAGTAAACTCAACGAGACTTTTTTTATAAATGTTTTTTTATAATTAAAATATAATATTTTATATGGTGCCGTAATCTTTATATGGTGCCGGCGGGGACCGTGCCCGGTTTGCTCGCATAATGTGATATTTACAGCGAGCGCTAACCATCTGAGCTACCAAGTAATTTTAAGTGCTGATTTACCACGTGCTCGGTGGTGAAGGAAAACATTGTGAGGAAACCTGCATGTCTGAGAAATAAGTAAAAAAAATGTTATTCGAAGACATGTGAAGTTCACCAACACGCATTGGGGCAGCGCGGCGGACACTTCCACTCGGAAATGAGGGTAGGTCTGTGCCCAGCAGTGGGGACGTACCTATAGGCTGAAACTTTATTTTTAACTTTATTTTATACAATTAGTGTGAAGACATTAGAAACAGCATGGTAGCGTTCACCTCACTCCCGGGGGTTATTTTCAATCATGTGTAAAATCACTGCTCTATAGTAGTATAATAACCCAACGTTTGCTTAGTAAAAATTTTAAACCTTTTGATAGATAAAGCCTGATTTGAATGATTAAGCAGCTCAGTATATAAGACAACTATTTCCTATATATAGGTTGGCAACCGCAATTCTTTATTATTTTGAGTTGCGCTGCTGCCCATTTCCTGTTGCAGTTAACAGGGACAATATGGGTTAGTGGATAATCTTAAGCCGCCACTAAATGGTGATAGCGTTAAACATAAGTACACATAAGTACATAAAATGCAGACGAACAAACATTCAGATCTGCCACAATTATTTGTAGGCGTTATATAAGTACTTGTTCCGAGCCGAAGTCAACCCCCGCTATCGAGCTTTCAGAATATTGCATGGACATTTATGTAATGTTGATTCTTTTGACCAGATTTGTCACTTAAAATAAACAAATTATTTCTAATAAATAGTATCAACACAGTTATCTATAAGCCCTTTAAGTTGTTAAAGAATTGATTTAATACTTTTATTTGTGTGTTTGTCTATTTAATAAGTTGCTGATGTCGAAACACCCATCCAATCATCCTCTTTAGAAGACTTCAAAACGGATGAGGTTCTTAATTCGAGTGTGTTTTCTTTCGTAACATTAACCGCGTTATCTATTTCAAATATGAACTGATTTTTAGGAATCTTTTTTTATTAAATAGTTTATTATACTTCAGACATGGATCAAGTTTTCAAAGTTATTTATAAGCTAATAGCTAATTGTATTGATGGTAGAGCCACGCAGCAACTATATTATGGCCTCGGCACGAATGGGTCGGTTCAACCGGGGAAGGACCACGCTCTCACAAAATACCAGCGTAAAATAACAGCTTAATGTTGCTGTGTTCCGTATAGTGAGTGTACAGGACCAGAAACCCTTTTTACTGAAAACAAAGCATTCCATCTTAGTCCTCAAGGGTGACAACGCAACTGCATTTTAATTTTAATTTTAGGTTATATATAGATGTCTATGAGCCATAGAATCTACTTAAAATCAGGTGGACTGTTTGTTCGGGCTCTAAAATTTCTTAAGCCTCCCGCAAAGAAACGAAACAAAAGAAAAGGAAACATTTTTTGCGAATGGATTGTCCAAAAAGAGGCATTCGAATAAAGTCTATGGGTGCCAACGAGTGTGTTATGATTCTTAGTCAAAGATAAAATACACGCGTATATGGGTCACAGCATCCACCAAACATTATGTAGACTGTGTGCTCGTTTGTCACCCTTTCTTCTATAAAAACCGTACATTTATCCAACGAACCTAACGAATCTTATATTAACGACTTCTTTTAAATTAATTCAAAATAATTTAATAACTCCGATTTACCCTTCCTCCCTTCCCTTTACTACTTTTGCTGGCTTCGTTTAGATACGCTAGTGTATTCAACAACTACGAACTAATAAAGTACCAGGCTGTACACTTTCGTAAGCCTCTCGCTTAACGAACGATTTTTGCGAATGGATTGTCGCTCGCCTCCCAAGGTCCCTTTTGTTCTCGGAAACGAAATATTATCTTGTCATTGTTTAACACATGCTATTTGAGTTTTACACATGTATTATTTGGCAATGTGTTTGTTGTTGTTTATAAAGACAAAGAAAGTCTATTTATTATTAACGAAAACATTTGATTGTTTCGTTATTTGGATTTTCTTCGTTTTATAATTGCTGCCTATCATAATTCTTCTGCGCACATGGGCGTACCCCATAAGCTATCAAATAGGGTTATGCATAACATACATAAACACACACGCCCGTCAACCACAGGGGTAGGCAGAGACTACAGACTTCCATTTGGCACGATCCTGACACACATCTCTCGCCTCATTCACATCCATATATACCCTATTTATTATAACCCTAAAGAGTGACAAAGAAAATTTATGTTATATATATACATATATGATAATTTTATTTGATACTAATTGAGTTAGGAAGAAGCTGCTGCCATGCCCATTCCTTGTTTCATTGCCCTCTGTCGCCTCTTATCACACCCAAGGGATAATTTGTATTGGATGAGGCTATTTACTTAGTTTAAATGTATTTAAAAGTACACTATTTATAATGTTTTCTTATATTTACGCGAACACTACACATTGATTAAAACTACTTTTACGGATTTTATCGCGTTTATTTTAATTTCAATTACTTTTTTTTACTTT